CATACACTCCGGATAACTTTAATGACCAATCAAATTAAGAATCATACAACTCACATTCAAGACATTAAGGTACATGGAGTAGAAAAAAGTCTGATTACTACACTTGAAAGAGAATGAACTAATATTCACAATAGAAACAAAGATAAGTAATAACTTATATATAGATAGATCGATAGGTCTATTTCGGCTTATTGATTTCTTTGTTGATCTTCCTGAGAAACCAATGTTTCGTTTTAGGTAGCTCCTGAAACATACACATTACAGGAATCGAGTCAGATCACTTTACCTTATAAACACATATTAGAGAACAACATAATAATACAACATTGATTTTTCCCCAAGTTCTATTTACTTTACTACATTAGCAACTCAAAAACAAAAAAAAGGGATTTCAAATCAACTCTATCTTGTCATAAACCTATTAGGTCAGTGATTTAAACATTAAAATATGATCTTAATTATTCAGCAAATAATTTAATTTTAGATCATGCAACTACCGGAACTAAGCAATTAGTAAAAAAAAAGATGAGGAAACGATTTTATTATAAATGAATTTAATAAATATTTCTCATATTCCCAATTCTTTTTGATCATTTAATAAAAGAACAATCGAGATACCTTGACTTTGTTATTAAATACTGAACACATTCATTTTATAGTGAACAGTTACCGACAGATACTTTAATCAAAAGTAGGTTGTATATCTGTCTTAAATGCTGTACATAAAGATGCTACAGTTATTCGGATTTTGACATCGCCTTTACATGTAACATCTTTATAATCTAAGTATACCAGCTCAGTAAAATCAGAAGTCAGAAGTAAAGGAGTTTTAAAACATATGCTTCGAAAACTATTGATATACCGAGAAGCGTTTGAACTAAGCGTTTTTAGCAAGGTTTTTAACTACACGATGGGGTTTTTGATGCCGTGCCAAACCTTCCTCCTTTACACAGGCTTGGGACTAGCAGCAACTCTAGAAGAACTACAAGCGGAGTCAGTATCTTCAATACGAACGTCTAGATATTCCCTACTGCATGGAGCTGAAACGTGGAAAATTACTACAAGCATAATCAAGTAGGTACAAGTAATTATAAACAGTTGTTTACGCACAATACTCAACATTCACTGGCCGGATACTATCAGCAAAATCCTTCTGTGGGAGAGGACAAACCGGCTTCTAGATGAAGAGGAAATTAAGAAAAGACGTTGTAAATGGATGGGACATACATTAAGGAAATCATTAAACTGCATCACTAGGCAATCCCTAACTTGCAATCATGAAAGGAAGCGGCAAAGAGGAAGGACAAAGAACGCATTAAGCCATGAAATAGAAGCAGATATGAAAAGGATGAATGTTAACTGGAAAGAACTTGAAAGAATTGTCCAGGACAGGGTTGGATGGAGAATGCTAATGGGCGGCCTATTCACCCCCATGAGGGGTAACAGGCGTAAGTAAGTAAGTGTTGTCTAAGTTGGATAGCACTTGCAAGGGATGCGTAGCAAGGTGTGTCCACTCGTAATTTCATGCGGTTGCGTGACTGAGCTCCTTCAGATAGGTGTGTCCAGTAATACTAATGAAGTTGGAATCAATGTCGATGAATTACATAACCATTTATTTTAGGGATTTATTGACTGCTACATATCTAACAAGAATCATGTTGATACCACAATTCACCACTCAGTCATGATAACTGGAAATAAAAGAGAGAAGAAATTTTCAGCAATACGGAAAAAATAAGCTATCACACCACTCTAGGGCTTTAAATTGATTAAGGATTACTATGGTATATTCACAGCAAATTATTTTGTACAAATAAAGGTGGTCTGAGTTTTATGATAAGCAAGATTTAATTAGACTTAACAGTGGGACATTGCTATTAATAGTAATAATAATAATAATAATAATAATAATAATAATGAAAGTCCCTATCTAAACTTCAACAGTTTCTGCCCACATCCCTCCTGATAATAATCAACATATGCTCACTAGTATTTCCTGGAGTTCTAGTGAGGAGCAGTGACCAGTGGAGTTCAACCAGGTCTGTTGTGAGATAGTAACTCACTGCAGACATTGGTGGTTGTGTCACTCAATTTCGTGGATCGGTTGAAATTAGATATTAACACCTTTGGATGCCGACTCAGTGGTCTATTGGTTAAGCGCTCACGCTAGGTCCTGGGTTGAAATCTCTCGAGGCGGGATCGTGGATACGCACTGCCTAGGAGTCCCATAATAGAACGAAACGGCCTAACAGTGCTTCCAGGTTTTTCATGATGGTCTAGCTTTAAGTGATTCATAATCTCAACTATTAAAATTCCGAATTTATTATGCTGTTAACTAGTGAATCATCACTAAATAGAATATATCTCTACGACCTTAGTTTATTCACTGATTAAACATGAGATCATTTCCAAATTTAAATCAAACTGTATTGGTTGGATAGTCAGAATGGTGTACCTTATATTTTATTCATCAAAATTCTCATTTCATTTATCACCACGAATTATAATTGTCAGTTAAATAACATTTTAAAAGAACATATTTTGTCTCTTTAGTGCAATCATAAGCAAACATTGAGACCAAAAGTACACACATCTCTCGTACAAAAGTCAGCGATCACTAAATAAACCTTGACCTTATGAACATGACCTAATGGTAATCACCTGAATGACCTTAGAATATGGTAACAGAAAATTAATCACTTTTCAGTTAATGTCAACCAACTACCTCAAAGAAACGAGCTACAGTAGATATTAACATAACACCGAATTAATTGTGAACATTGACACATGTTAAAAAAGATGAAAGTTACATCTCAGAATATTGACTAACTGTACAGATACAAGCGTTATTATTCATAAATACAAGTGAATATCTGTAGTCAGATTATCATCAGTAGAGTTAGATGACGACTAAATACACATTATTATCATAAATGTTATAGGAACCTGGTAATATATGGGCTAGTGGTAGTCACGTGCTGATATCTAAAAAAGCAGATATAACTAGACTGATTCTTATTCATACAAATTCAAAACAAGAATCTCCCAAATGTTACAAAGATGTCTCAAATGTCATGTTTGCAGTGCTTTAAAAATAGACACGGTTAGTGTAATAAGTTAAAGATCGTCAGTAACGGTGCCTCCTATTAGGAAGTTTGCCGAATCGAAGGGATTCAAGACAGTCAGACAACGTCTGACGAACAACCAAGTCAAATAAAACTAAGCAAAATAAGTGACGAGATCAAAATCTCCATACTGCTAGATTATAAGGAACTGAATGACTAGAGCTGGACCACTTGATTCTCCAGAAAATGGGGAATTTGAAATGACTTTTGATTAGTTGTATTAAACAGTTCATATTTACAAGGCTATATCGAGGCAATACGCACAGTATGCATATATGCCAATAAATAAGAGACTGACCAGTTGCAGTCCTAACACATTGATGGGAAGATTCAAACAAACAATACTAAATCATATTTACAATAGTTAGTTGTAACTAGAAAATTTAAGATAATTGGTTAACTTTTAGGAACTAGAATGAAAAACACACTTGGATTATTAACCAGATCTCAAGGCTAATCGGATTAAATATTTAAAAAACACCTGTCGCGATTTTGTTTGGAGATCGGTAAATATTAGCTACCTATTTTTCATTACTGACTTAACATTTATTGATGAAGCATTTTAAAATAACAACTACACATATTCTACTATAATTTCAGATTCTATTATAGCAGTTCACACTCTTCATATCATCATGGATCGAAACTAAGAGAATCATAATGTTAATGCGATTGAGTTAGAATACAACGATTCATATTTCTGAAGTATGACAAATAATCAAAGTTATCGACTATCTGTATCATACTGTCAGCATAATCGAATCATACCATTTATATAACCTTCGTAAAATAGCGGTAACCCACTTTAAAATTAGTCACTAAACGATGATTGTTTGACAGATTGGCTAATTTTCTATCATTAATTTTCGTCACTGACTGAAATCAGTTGGCGAAATGTCACAGCTCACATGTGCACCAAACATCTGTCTCACCCTGCTTCGAGATTCCTCAGTAGTGATGTTGTTGGTAATTTACTGAACTGATCATCTTAATGATAGGAACTATTTTTGATGTCTATTAACTCCGACTGAATTACAATAGTGTATGTGATCTCAATTATCGATGAAGTATTGGTTACTCATGTGTTCTTTTAATTGTGTTACCCGAATATGCCTGCATCAAAGTAACTGGACACGAACTGAATAAATACTAATTTATTTACCTTATGGTGAAATACTTTTAAGTCTAGTTACATCAGTAAATAGGTTGGAGTGGTTGTTACTCATTATTGTGAGGCGACATGTATGTACTATTAATTGATCGGCTCTGACTTCCATTATTACATAGTGATCCCTACTTACCAAACATTATTATTTCAATAGTTGAATTCATGAGTCGATGTAAACTAGATCAGCATTGGTTGCCTGGATGTACTGAACAACCTTTTCGACCTAGTATTAGACTCTTCAGCAGTTCTCATCCATGATCTCTAATATATGGGACTCGAACCCAGAACTTCCAGTTTCGCGTGCGAACGCTTAATCACTAGACCACTGAGCCGAAATCCAACTGTGTGTTAATATCTAACTTCAAACGATTCTTTTAAATGATTAAAAGTTATTTGAGTGAATATTATTCTTTTCACTGTTGAAATCATGAGTCAATTGAAGCTAGACCACCATCGAAAACCTGGAAGTACTGAACGGCTGTTTCGTACTATTATGGGACTCCTCAGCAGTGAGCATCCATGATCCCGCACTCACGAGATTCGAACCCAGGACCTACCAGTCTCGAGCCGAAGCCCTAAACCGATAACTGAATATTATTCATCAAAGTATTCATTTTGATTGGCTGTTCTATAATTAGTTAATTTCAATTTTGAAAAGTAGTGAACTTGATTGGATGGTCTTTAGCTATAATAAACACTTCATATATATATGATATCTACGGATTAATTATCATTTGAACAGTTTAATTTTCAATGTCCCATTACTTTACTAATAACCAATTATACTACTTATTCTTAATAACTATGCTAATGAAAAGTGAGTTAGTTCTTAAATTGATCTTTGAATAAAGTTTTTTTCTTAGAATATTAAAATAAAAGATCTCTGAATGAGTGTAGGTTTTTATGTTAAGTAGGTTTAAAGTAATGAATTAATTAGGCACCGAATAGTTAAGTTTAGAAGAACTATCAGATGAAATTTCAAATGTTACAATTAAAAAAAACAGACCATTAAATCCAATCAAGGATAAAACTTATGAACTTTATATCTTACAATGTGGTCAACAAACTGAAGTGAACTTATAGAAGAGACTAGATATAATTTGTGACAATAGAAAGGTGAATAACACTGAATAACTTTGCGAGACAGGATCGTGGATGCGCACTTCTGAGGAGTCCCACAATAGGACGAAACGGCCTTCTAGTGCTTCTAGGTTTTCCATGATGGTCTAGCTTAAATTGGCTCATGATCTCAACTATATAAAATTACTAAAATTTCCACAAAACCTCCTGATAGTGATCATATGCTCACCAGTGACTAGCTCCATGAGGTATTTCCTGGAGTTCTAGTGAGAAAGCAGTTACCAGTGAAGTTCAACCAGGTCTGTTAGGAGATATCAACGCACTGAAGATAATTGGTGAGTGGTTGCTCAATTTCGTGGATCTGTTGAAGTTAGACATTAACACCGTTGGATGTCGGCTCAGTGCTCTAGTGGTTAAGTGCTCGCATGCAAGACTGATAGGTCCTGGTTTGGAATCTCGTGATGCGGGATAGTGAGTGCGCACTGCTCAGGAGTCTGAAAATAGAACGAAATGGCCGTCCAGTGCTTCCAGGTTTTCCATGATGGTCTAGCTTCAATTGATTCATGATATCAACCATGTAAAATTACTAAAATCTCTAAAAAAACCCCTTCTGATAACTTCAATAACAGTTAAACACAAATGGAATGAATGTCAGTTAGTTAGTGTTTTGTTCAGATCCGTGTTATTACTTTTAAAGTCTTTCATCAACATCCAGAACAGATTTTTAATATTGTTTGGTGGTGTTTGTATCAACATTAAATAGTTATAACTGAGTAATTTGACTAATTATGAATTTGACGACATCTTAGCAGAACACTCGGTAACTAAAGTTTAAAGAAACCTCTATCATCCTTTCTGGATTTTCAGTGACAACGTATTCATGGATCAATTTGTGTTTCATACATGTAAACTTATCATCATAGTCATGATAGTCATGATAAGAAAAACGAATCGTGTCTTTTGAATTGCGTCTTATTAGTACAATGAATTAAAATTGTAAACCTTAGTTTAATGGTAGTAAATCTGAGAAAAATGAACATTGTGAGAATGTCATCAGCTAGAAAATAAACGTGTAGTTAACTAGTTTCCATATATATTTCCGGTGTTAACTGCAAAATCTGTATGAAATTACTCCATTGGGAAACTGAAATATCATGTGAAAAAATGATATTGTCTTGTTCGAATGTATCAGGAATATTGTACTGCAATCACTTTTGATCATTCAGAAAATGAAAATTGATAGAATCGGTTTCCACTTAATCTTTCATTTATATGCCCATCATGATGCCTGAAAATGTAAATGATAATTCCAATTGGAATTCTAGGCGATTACTGCTTGGAAATTGCAAACTTGAACTAACTGTCTGTCTAGCGTTAGTTTTAATTAGTATACCGGTTAATTTAAGTCTGTACCGAAAAATTACATTGTTGTGAAATAATCTCGACATATCATTTGAATAACGGAAATATAGTTTTGACTCTTTTAGGATGAAGGTCAATTTTCTTCTTACCTATACCATATGGGATAGTTATTTTTTATTATTATTTAAACACATAAATATTGGTAGAAGGAAGCACCAGATACATATGCGCCATACAAATCTCATTCGATTTGCTTGAGGGCTGTGATGCTACACAGGTGACAAAATTGAGGCAGGTGGTTTTCTTAATAGGCCACACCCGGAGCCTTTGACCTAAAGTTCTGATCCACAAGGCCGTGGAGCATCGTGAGGAGATGCAGTCCCATGGTAGCCGGTGACCAACGATTGATTCATACGCCATTTTTTCCTTCATGATACTGAAGCCAGTCCATGTGCACCATTGATTTGAAATCAGGGTTTTCCAACTCCCCTAGATGGACCCTCCGTGTCCACCAACCCGGTTAAAGCGCCGGACATTCAACTTTCGTCCTCTCACTTTCGTAAACAACACCCCCACCACGAGAAGGCAGTGAGTAGGACTTCCCTGGCAGAGTCTATATATTCGCTGGCCATGTGAGAGCATTTCGAGAGGAAGAGCGGACTCTCCCCACTCTCGGCCGTACCAGGGCATTTGAGGGCTAGTTAGTTAATTCACAATAATCTGTTATCAGACGGTTTACCTTTACAATAACCAAAGATTAAAGTAACAGTCATTCGATTCTAATTTATCATAATTTTACCTAGTAATTTTCAGGCTGTAATGTTATTTTCTATTACGTATTGCCTATATAAACAACTCAAATAGTTCACATAACAATTCATGATGGATGTTGAGGTCGTTTATTTGAATAGCGTAACGAAAAATCTAAATTCAATATATTTACACTTTCAATGTATTTTAATCCTACATAATATTCCTTTTACAAATCAGTGAATTACTGTTGCCAGAAACTTGGTTCATCTTGTACAGGAACAGTTTTTCGTCGTTGTTGTGGCAAATTACTCTGTGAATATGATATGCTCGGTGCAGGAACTTGTCAAAACTGTATTCGTTCAAATTATGCTTGTATGAAGAATAGTCAATGTTGTTCTAAATATTGTAAATTTTTAGTTTGTGTTTGATCTTTACTATTGTTAAAGTGAAAAGTTTATGCACATATTATTTATATTATTAATATATGGATCAACTTTAATTGTCAAAATATTAAATCGATTTGTGTTGTCTTCATTAAATCAATAAATGGTATATATATATATGTGTATCCTCTCTACATGTACTTTTCAACATAACCGCGAAAAAGAACCTAAACCGTTTGTTTGTTCACTATTACTTTACAGTTTGAAGTCTTTTAAATCATTTACAACCGTGTAAATTCGAAACATTATTAGCAATTTATACTGTTCAGCGTATAGATGGATTGTATATGAAACAGTTATTATTTAAGAACTTATTCGTATATTCAAACTTTGAATCTTCTTCGATTCAGATAGCTTAGTTGAATCATTGACCACTATACAGATGTTTCATGATCTGGCTTTTGTATCGTACAATTATTAGCACTCACATGTAATAGTAAAATGATAGGTTTCAAAGTGATCATACACACTGTACTTCTCCGCCATCTCATGGTATCTTAAATTTGAACACACACGTTAGTTTCATCAGTTGTAGTACAATTACATACATACATCAGAGGTTTTGGCTTACATTTATTAATATTCGTACTAGTGATGGTTTGAGAATAAAATAGATGAGGAGATTTATTCTCACAAATAGTTTTCTCATAAATGATGTTGACTTCAATAGATAAGCTTAGTGAATTCGCTTTCGAAATATGATGACTTGTCATATAGGTTACATATAATGCATAAGTGATCAGATAATATAAGAAAAGGTTGGATATAAGGTAATCTCTTATGGTTCCAACGCCGACAAATAATACTGTGCATTAATAACTGTACTGATTAAGGAAAATTTACGAAAGTACATAGACTAAACAAAAAACTGAAAACTATTCTCCCCAGACAATTACCACTTAAAGCTAATTAAAACAATGACTTAAGAAGGATAACTAAAGAAGAGATGCATTTTATCTGTAACATCCACTGTTTTTTTGCTAAAGCAACATGATTTTGGATATTTCTGTTTAATAATAACCTACATTTTTTAATTATTAGACTTGAGTTTTAAAAAATAAATTTTTTGCAATTGGTATCAGTCATAGGTTGACACCAGTTGGTTTACCAAAGAGAATGAGGGAACAGCAGAAAACTGTTTCATCCTACTATTACACTATTTAGAGGGAAACACCCATGACTCCTCCAAGAATACTACCTAACAATTAAATATATCTCTACATATCTTCTTTATCAAATTCGCCCAGTGACTAAATAATGTTTGCTATTAAAAAATTGTTGGTTCATACAAAAACTGTACTAGTGTTGTGAACAAGAACACGGGTGGGGACAATCAAATGTATCTTGGCACAACATTACAGAATATCTCATTAAGATATAAGAACCATATAGTGAACAGTTAATTTGCAAAATAATAATCAATTGTCGCAATTTGACTGTTTCTTCTGAAAATATTCGTCCATAGTCTCCGATTATAATTGTTCATGCATTTTCGTACCAATTACGTACCGTTTCCGTTCTTTCCTTATCGATCTTCTACTGAAATATATTCAATGCCCGACCATCACCATATACTACTTATATGGATATCAGTAACCCACAGCACACTAGTTTTCGTTATTATATATCAAACTATAAACTCTTGCTTTATGGGATTTTGGAATTAATAAGGTAATCATGATAACTATTCAGTCCATTTTCTTCCTTAAACTGTACTGCAATTTGAAAACATTTTGTAATGAACTAATAACATTAATATCAAGTGCTGTGAAGTGTAGAGAGTTATCAAAGCTGAACACTAATACTAGGCTTTTATTATTCTGAACAATATGAGGGCTACTATTTATTGTTATTACACATGGTAATTGTCTAGATTTTAAGTGAAAATTCTGTTTTTTAACTATAAATAGAATAAGTAGATAAAGAAGAGGAAGAAGATATTTTCATTGATATTGGAGCATATAATTGAAAGGGCGTACGAAATTAATTTCGGTACGGTATTTATAATGCTGTACAGAAATCAGTAATCTGTGGAACATAATTTAATGTAACAATTGGACACGAAAGATAATCGCAATCAATTAACAATTTTTATATAGTTGAAATCATGAGTCACTTGAAGCTAGATCACCATGACAAACCTAAAAGCACTGGACGGCCGTTTCGTCATATTGTAGGACTTATCAGCAATGCGCATCCACGATCCTGCCTCATGAGATTCCAACTCAGCACCTACCAGTCTCACACGCGAGCACTTAACCGATAACAATTTATTTATGCAGAAAGTGATAGTTTGAACATTCACGTTCATTTATATGAATACACAAAATAGTTTTCGGTTGGAATTATTTTTTTACTGATGAATAAGCCTTCATTGTGTCATATTGGATAAGCATTGGTTTATGCTTATCACATGTTATAATCATTCACGGGTAAGTACACTTAAAGAGACTTAATAAATACCCAATACATATTTTAAATGAACATATGGAATTCACATAGCACACGCATAATGAACATAGTTCGAAGAGAATGTACTACAAGAGAATTCTTACCAACTGAACTATAGAGAACTATTAAGGTAAGATGATGGTAATGATTTTCCTGATAACAACCTGAAATAGGTCAACTTGTAATCTAACATTACTAATGATGAATGAATACATATTTTATGTAAACCTTGACTACGGTCAACTGTATACAAATTATCATGTTGGTCAATCTCATCTATTTTATTCTATTCATGAAATAGAAATGGTAACCAATGGTTAGACCTTAAGGGTTATTTCTGAAAAAACATCGTTATTGGTAGTTATTAATACCATTAATATTATTATGACTATTATGATGAATCAGAAGGAGTTTTGTGGAGATTTCAGTATTTTCATAGTTGAGATCATGAGTCAATTGAAGCTAGACCACTATGGAAGACCTGAAATCACTGGACGGCCGTTTCGTCCTATTATGGGACTCCTCCGCAGCGCACATCCACGATACCGCACTCACGAGATTCGAACCCAGGACCTGACGCGAGACTGGTAGGTTATCATTTACTGAGAAGATCAAATTATTTTATCGCAATCTTAAATTTAATTTTTCTTCTGAGAATATAAAATTTTATATGAGTGTCAATATTTTACGAAATCATATGAATTAAGTAAATCATACCATGTGATGAACATTTACTGTGGAGCATTTTATGCTATTAATACAATTCAGCCACATAGATACCATTAAGCTGAAAAATATGTTAAGTGAATAACGTCAACTATCGACAATCTGAGGCTCTTAAACAGAGTTTACAAGCCTTATACCAGTACTTTCTATTAGCATTACATTATTGTTTATGAAAAATGTTTCAAAGAAACCCCAAATTCTAAGTTACTATGTCGTTGATCAAAGTAAAGGATTGCCTTGTGCATCTTTGTCTAACACCATTTTATACTGATGAACATAATATCATTTATAATCTATTATTTTTACTAAAGGTTACGTTAAACTTATGCAAACTCAGTCGACATTTCGTGACTTTTCCACGGTTTATCCAGTTTATTTTCGAATTCCAGTTAATCACGGTTTCACTGTTGAACGCACTGTAATTAGAATTATGTAAATAACAACAGTAATAAGAAATCAGTGAACATAAATTTATTCTTCATTTCTTGAAAATTTTTTTCAGAAACAAGAGAAGCTAATACCCGTTAAATAGTTTTGCAAGGTGAATCTAAAGAGAGGTGTTTCACATCTTGTTACGGATAATTACCTTAGAAAAATTTCCTTCACTAATTCGTGGTAACTTGTGGCAAACGGGAGTCACTTTGCAGGAACGAACTAAATAATATTTTTCTTACTTGTCACATCACGTTTTGTACAATTTGAGGTTTCAATAAAATGTAGTGAGGAGCCGGGATGTTTACATTAAGAGTATTACTAATGGCAGGGATGTCGTTACTAATGAAACTTCCGATTGGCATGCCAGACAAAACACTGTGACGGAAAAAGACTAAAAACCTTCCTATAAGGTCATACGTCTCTCCTAAGCTGCAAATTCACTGGCTATTGTTATCTTATTCATTGACTTATTCAATGCAGTTATCTGTTGGAGCGGCATTTATAGATGCCGTCAATTCCTATGATGTCTATAAACCGGTTAGGCATGTTCTTCTAATCCCGTGTACAGGAGAAATAGCGCTGCAGCTGACCGTCTAAGTCATGCTGTATCTGTGCTTCCCCCCAGCTAGATTTCAAAACTACTTATGAAGTCGGAATTGTGAAAACTACTGAACAAATCTGGAAGTTCTAATCGTTCAAGTACATAGCAACGCATAACACAGATATCCTGCCCAATGATATAAGCTTTCTGTAAGTTTCATAAACAAAATTTGTTACTACAAACGCTGCAGCTCTCAACATGAGAAAGGATGAACGCTCTTCATTTAATCGTTTGTTATACATTGGGAACACTGGCTTCGCTCATGAACAACAAGCAGTAAATCATGTTTATGACCCGTCGACCATCTGTTTACAATGAACAATCTATCATGTGAACATCGACGAACGACCGACATACACAAACAATAGCTTGCCTAATTTATGATATACAAGATATTTGAAGGGAACTATCTTCGTCTTGATTAAGACATCGTCAGCCACTGATTATGCCTTTTCGTTTCGTAAATATATACTATAAAAACGGCTTAAATAATAAAAGGACAGAAAGCTTGATTTTCGTAGGCTATCAATTGTCTAGCTAACTTTTCTTCAGTTGAAAATCCAACCCCAACAAGTATCTCTCAAAACATATTCTCCACATCGTTGTTCGGTATGGACATATAGGACAACATGACTGAGGTAGTAAATTTTGGGAAATGCTACTCCTTCGAAGTTGATAGTTTTTATTTATCTGAAAGCAGGCTCTCCATTAGACTACATGGACTACGCTTTTGATTAGTTGAAGGATAAATGAGACAAGGGTACACGGAAATACAATTTCACAGCCAGAAAAATTTAATTTCCAGACATAATCCATTACTCTTTAATCTCTCCTAGTAATTTTTAAGTACTTTTATGGCCTAAAGTGAAGTGACAAATTCCTATTCTCTCCATATTACATTAAACTTCTCTCCCATATTT